GTTTGTGGTTTTCCATCATTTTACTAAAAGGTTAATACATATAAATTTGTCATTAATGTCATCAACTAATAGTTGTTTATGGAGTAAACTATACAAAAATGTTAGAATTTAAGGTTGTATAGAACAATTTAGGTAACAGAGCAGACAAATTATTTTCACAAGAGCAATGCTCAGCTATACCAGCTAAGGATCTGAACCCTCTCTAAATTAGATATTTGTATCTTTTGGAATGATCCTTTTTTATTATTTGAAGAATAGTTGATGTCCTTAAAATGAACAATTGAAATAGTTACATGTTTGTAATTTCTGTCTACTTTATTGTGGCATTTACTTCTAATATATTCTTATTTTTGCACACTGATAGAACATGAGAGACTCAGTTTAAAATCCTGATTCTGGGTAAAGGAAGCCTAGAATACAGGCCCTCTGGCATCCCAGATAATTGTCCTACCCACTCCGCTATTTGGATGAAAATATAGGAGCTACCTCTGTCGCACACACATACACACACACAAATGCTTTATTGATCAATATGGGTGCATATATAGTTGGCTAAGCATCATCGTCAGCAGTTCCTTGATTTGAGGATGATCTCTACTTCATCTCATTGATGGGTCTTGAGGTGACTAAAGAGTCCAATCCTTGAGCCACAGATCCATCCACAGAGGCTGCAGGGCTTTCTTCAGGGAGAATAGGCCATAGGCTGGGATTCCACTCCTTTTCTTCCTTCTACTCTCTCTTCTCTGCTTCAAAGACAAGATCCTTTACTTTGAAACTGGCTGCTACTTGATTGGGGTTGTGGTGCCATTGAAATTGGTTAGCAGCCAGCTCTTCCCAGCTTTTGATGTTGGCATCCACTTTCTTGAGGTATTCTTTCAATGTGTTCTTGTGGCATTTTCTGTGGCCACCACAAGATCTCAGGCCATAATTAAGCTGAGAGTAGAGCACTTGTTTTAGGAGTTGGGATTCAGATATGCACACATATCTGGTCCAGGAAGCTTGTGCTTGAGTATCTCCAACTCAATGCTCGTGACACTGGATTCAACAAGGATCCCGGCATTTGTATGGTGATCTTCCCATTTGCTGTGGAGGATTTTTTTGGTTTAGAATGGCACGTGAAATACATTTTTGCATTCTATTTATTGTTATAATTTCATTCTCAAGCAGTTACATGGTTTTCATTCTTGTACTATATGGTATATGCTTTCAAATGATTTGCCCTTCTATAACTGGCACAGGAACCTCTATCAAAAATATATACCATTTAGCATTTATGCAATATTTCTACAGCGACCAACAAATCACTTTGAAGATATTAAGAATTAGCATTGCCACATTGCCATGTCTAAGACATTGTAATTTTTCTTATTCCTATTTTACAGAGAAGAAACCAAGGCACAGCAAGGCTAGGATTCAATCCAGGTTCTGTTGAAAGCAATAGAAGCTATCTCATTTATTACTGGTAGGAAGTGTAAGTCCGCCTGCTCAGTGTTTCACAGACAGTCCACAGGAGACTTTGACAAAAAAGAATCATAACCAGTTATCCTGTGCTTTAGCCAAAGAACTACATTTCTTACCTTTTTTGTTGGTTTTGATGGTTTTGTACAAATGTGGTTTGAATTGTTTCAACTCACTTTAAAAAATAATTCTTCAGGCATGGAGGGCAGGTTCACAACTAGCTGTCAAGCAAGGAACCAACTTAGAGGGGAGACCAGAAAGACAATCTCCTGGGGAGTCTTTGCTATGGCAGCAGCAGCCCCATGCCATGGCAGACATCAGAGAAGCATGAGCAGCAGCAGCTGGGGTCTTTGAGTCCCCAGAGCAAGTAAGACTGACAACCCATCCATCTACCCACCACTCCCTAGCTGGCTATTGCCCAAGGTGCAAAAATGGTTAGTTGCATCTCTGATGGATGGTGAGATTTTCAAAAACATGTCCGTCAGCAAACTTAGCCAATTTAACTCTATTTCCTTTCAAGAAAATGGTAAAACTCCCATTAGCTTCAATAAGATGACAGTTAAAATCATAAAATTGGGGTTGAAAGGGACCTCAGGAGGTCATCTAATCTAACCCCCTGCTCACTGCAGGACTATCTCCAACTATATCATCTAAGCCAAGGCTTGTTCTAGCTGGGTCTTAAAAACCTCCAAGGATGGAGATTCCACAGCCTTTATCAGTAACCTGTTTCAGTGCTTGATGATCATCCTAGTGAGACAGTTTTTTCCTAATATCTATCTTAAACTTCTCTTGTTGCAATTTAAAACCTCTGTTCCCTTTTCTGTTGTCTGCCACCACTGACAACATTCTAGCTTCATTCTCTTTGTAACCACCTTTCAGGTAGTTGAAGGCTGCTATTAAATCCCCTCTCAGTCTTCTCTTCTCCAGACTAAATAAGCTCATTTTCCTCAGCCTCTCTGCATACATCATGTGACTCAGCCCTCTAACCATTTTTGTTGCCCTCCACTGGACTTTCTCCAGTTTGTCTACATCCCTTCTGTAGTGGGAATGTACTGCACACAGTACTGCAGATGTGGTCTCACCAGTGCCGAATAGAGGGGAAGAATCATTTCCCTAGATCTGTTGGCGATGCTCCTACTAATGCAGCCCAGTATGCTGTTAGTCTTCTTCACAACAAGGGCATGCTATTGGCTTCCATTCAGCTTATTGTCCATTATAGCCTCTAGTTCCTTGTCTGCAGAGCTGCTGCTTAGCCATTGGTCCCCAGCCTGTTAGATCAATACTGAACCCATATGAGACATCATGTTATTATGTTATTTATAATTTTTCTCCATTTTATTTAAGAGGTATGAAGTGAGTGGAAAGCTCAAAGTGTGAACACATATATTCAGGCACCCTGTGACTCGACTCTATTGTTGCACTTTTTCGAGCTTTTTACATTTCACAAATAAATTAGGTTTCTACAAATAATGAAAAGGAATTACACTTTAGCTGCAATCAGCCAAATTAGGTTGTTCACTGTCACCTAAACTTTAACTAGCCTGTTGGGAAACAATGAAAATGTTCTGTTTGTTGGAGAGGTAGGGAAGAGAGGGATTAAAAGCACTATTCAACTGACTGGTATGGAAAATAATAATACAATCTAAAAGACAGGCTAATGCAGTTAGAGCAATTCTTTTATGAGTTTAGTATAAACATTCAGCTACATTTTTCAAAGGAGACCCATTAGTCTAGAGAACAACTTGTCCTCTAGACAGAGAGGATTGGAATTGTTTATCAGAGTAGATTTTTTTTTCCCCACCCAATCTGGTTTGTTTCTTCATTGCTATATAACTTGAAGCAAAACAGAAATTATCAATAAACCCATTAGGATTAATCTAGACAGCTCCTGATTTTCCTCCTACTTTACTACACGTATCTTCATTTCTACATATCCTCCAGTACAGATTTTTTGTTCACTAAATCAAGACTTAGTCATAAATAACTGTGAAGTTATTTATATATACTTATGTAGAAATCTGAGGCCAAACAGTAACATACTGCATTACAGCTGAATCCTTAAAATATACTGACAGAACATTGCTTTTGTATGAGATTAGTCTCTCTAATTTTAACAACACATCCCAGAAGCGTTTAAAATGCATGTTGTTCCTTTGACATCAAGATAACTTAGACATCAAGGAAGGCCCTGGTAGTGTACAGAATTCTGATAATCTTCTGGGCATCACAATAGCCATCCAAATGTCCAGCATGCTTGTTCAAGAACAACCCATTCAAATAAAGTGCATATTCTACATTAGCTGTTAGTGCTCAGGAAAGATAGCTTTGATTTATTATGGTTAGTTTTCTGAGGGGAAAAATCATCAGTGTTCAGTTCAGCACAGAATATTAGGCATTATTCAGAAGGTGACTGAAAACAAAATAAAATGACATTATGCCACTGTATAAATTAATAAAGTGACCACACCATGAATACTGTATGCAATTCCGGTCCTCTTCCAACACAGGAGAAATAAAGAAGGGTACGTTGAAGAGCAGCAAGGGTGACTAGGGTCATGGAAAGACTTCTGTATGGGACTAAGTAGGACTTTCTAGTATAAGGAAAAGAAGACTGAAGAGGGATATGATAGTTCTATAAAATAATGACAGGTATAGAGAAAGTAAATAGAAATTTATTAATTGTCATCTCTCATGATACCAGAACTAAGAGATATATGATCAAAGTATTAGGGAGCAGGATTAAAACAAACAAAAGAAAGTTCTTTTTCACACAGTGGGAAGCTCCTGGCTGCATGTGCCTGGACTACAACACACTGTGCCTGGAATACAGCACACTGAGCTGGATCACAGCAGCCCTGCTTGGCCGGGGGTCTGGGAGGTGACCCTGACAGCCCAGAGCTAGCTCTGACTGGGGTCATTGTGAGCAGAGTGGTACCCTGCTGCAGAGTTTATTAGTTTTGTGTGTCCTAATAGGGGCTCACTTGTAGATGCTGAGATGTTTACTGCACAGCTAATTAGTCAACTGTTCAGTAAACTTCTCTTGTAGATATTTCCAGTGTTTAATTAAATTGTGGAACTATTGACACAAGATGCTATGGAAGCTAACAATTTAACTATGTTCAAAAGGGAATTGGACAAGTTCATGGAAGATAAGTCAATCCGTGGGTATTAAACATGATACTAGGACTGAAGCCTCCAAATTGGGATTTCCTAGATCTCTGAATTCTGGAAGCTGGAAACAAAGAGGGGCAGAGGACAACACCTACATAAATGCTCTTCCCTGGAGCATTTTATGTTCTTATACTTTAAGACAGATTTTGCTACTTGTATTCATTCAAGCAGCACTTTACTCTGAAAATAACTTTATTGTTTGCAAAAATAATCAGTAGGGAATGAAATAAATATGTTTTTTGCTGTTTAAATATCAGGATTTACTTAAGAAAAGAGATATTGTGTCTACTAAATATGGACTATCCATGTAGTCTTGGCTAGATTCTTTACATTATTTCTAAAGGTAGACAGCACCAGGGTTTAAATCAGGTGGTGCCATGGCTTAGGTGGTTAAAGCACCTGTTTAGTAAACAGGAGATCCTTGGTTCAAGTCCCAGTGGGACCTTATGTTTTCTTTTTTATTCCATAGCTCACCTGAAAGCCTAAGCCCTCCAAAAGCAGGCCTAGTTTCCTGTACACTAACACCAGAAGCATGGGAAGCAAGCAGGAATAACTGGTCCTCCTATTAACCAATAACCAATATGATCTCATAGGGATCATGGAAAATTGGTGGGATTCCACCTCTGACTGGACCACAGACATAGAGGGATACACCTTGGATAGGAGGGATTGTGTCGGGAAGAAGGGCAGTAAAGTTGCTCTCTATCTGAAGGAACATTACACCTCCCTAAAAGTGAAGATTGGACACAAAGAAGGGTCACTTGAGGCCTTTTGGGTTAAGATACGGGGAAAGCACAGGGAAAGGGATTTGACCATAGGAGTTTATTACAGACCTCTAAACCAAGAAGAACAGCTCGACCAGTAATTCTCTGGAGAACCTGGGGAGGCTGCACACTCTGAGAGCATAGTTGTCAGGGGTGACTTTAACTACCCAGACATCACATGGGATGAGTACTCAGCTAGATCTGATCACTCACAAAACTTCCTCAGTTGCACTGAGGAGCTCTATCTAACACAAGAAGTCTACAGGCCAACCAGGGGCAAGGCACTTCTAGACTTGGTTTTGGCCAAAGGGAACAATCTAGTGAGCAACCTGAGGACTGAAGGGAAACTGGGTGACAGTGACTATGAGATGATCACTTTCTCCATCCATCGTAAGTCAGGGAAATCAGTCAGTCGACCAGAAACCATTGATTTTAGGAAAGCTGACTTCCATAGGGTTAGGGGAGTGGTTGGAGAGGCCCTGCGAGATCTTGGTCCAATAAGGAAGGGCAAGCAAGGTGAGTGGTCATTCCTCAAAGATGTGATCATAAAAGCTCAAAGGAAGCCCATTCCCTTTTGTAAGAAAGGCAGCAAAAGGGCTGGGAGATGGCCTTGGCTCAACAGGGAAGTCATGGACCTCCTGAAATTAAAACGAGAAGCCTACAAAAGATGGAAGTCAGGAATAACTACCAAAGAGGAGTACTCAGCAACAGCTCTTACCTGTAGGGAGCAGATCAGGAAAGCACAAACTGAATACAGATTGGCAACCGGAATCAAGGACAACAAAAAGTCTTTCTTTAGATATGTAGTATGTCACAGAAAAAATAAGGGAAGCAGGGGGCCACTGATGAATGAAATGGGATGGCTGATAACTGACACTCATGTCAAAACTGAACTCCTGAAAGAGTACTTCATGTTGGTATTTCACCAGTCCAAGAGTGTTAGCATGCTTGACAGGATACAGGATGATCATGGTGGGGGTGACCACCCTCCCATAGTTGGCGTAGATCTTGTTGGGGAGCACCTACAAAGGCTAAATATCTACAAGTCAGCAGGACCAGATGAACTATACCCAAGGTACTAAAAGAACTCACACAACCTATGGCAAAGTTATTTGAAGATTTGTGGCACTTGGGAGAAGTCCCAGAAAATTGGAATAAGGTCAGTATGGTGCCTATCCTTAAGAAACGGAGAAAATAGGAAATTAAAGGACAATCAGTTTGACTAATTCCTGGTAAAATCATGGAGAAAGTTATCAACAAATCCATTACAGACAGGCTGGAAGAAGGTAGTATTCTGAAGGATAGCCAACATGGTTTCATTATGGGCAGGTCATGCCAGAGCAACCTCATTTCCTTCTATGATCAGGTAACTCACTGCCTGGATAGGGGAAATGAGGATGACATCATATACTTGGACTTCAAAAAGGCCTTTGACCTGCTCTCCCACAAAGTCCTGATAAAAAAAATTTGGAAAGTGCAGCCTCAACTACTTTATAGTGCAGTGGTGAGGTAACTGGCTCTATGGTGGGTCCCAGAGTGTATAGATTGATGGAAATGAGTCATCATGGTAGAGGGTTACCAGTGAGGTCCATCAGGGTTCATATATTTCATAGATTTTCCTGACCTCTGATCATGCACATGGCTCTTCCCCAGACGCTCTCAAGCTTCTCCATATCCTTTTTAAATTATGGAGGCCAAAACTGGATGCAATACTCCAGCTGCGGCCTCACCAAGACCGAACACAATGGGAGAATGACATCCTGGGATTTACTTGAGAAGCATCTATGGATGCAAGCCAGAATTTGGCTCATTTTACTAGCTTCAGCATCACATTGAAGGCTCATGTTCATTTTGTGGTCAGTCATGACCCCAAGTCCTTTTCATCTTTCATGTTCATCTTGTGGTCAGTCATGACCCCAAGTCCTTTTCATCTGTAGTGCTAGTCAGCGTAGCACTGCTGAGCCTATAAGGATGCTGCAGGTTTTTCCTCCCATGATGGAGAATCTTGCATTTATCAGTGTTGAACACCATCAGGTTCTCATCCGCCCATTTCCTGAGCCTGTCAAGGTCAGTCTGGATCACTCTCCTGTCCTCAGGTGTGGATGCTTTACCTCAGAGTTTGATATCGTCAGCGAAATTGGCCAGTCGGCTTCTGACTCCAATGTCCACATCATTGATGAAGATGTTGAACAATACAGGTCCAAGGCCAGAGACTTGGGGGACCCCACTGGTCACAGGGCTCCAGGATGATTGAATTCTGTCAATCACCACCCTATGGGTCCGACCATGGAGCCAATTCCCCAGCCAATGGATCATGGTGGACCCAAGGCCGCAGTTGGCCAGTTTTGCCAAGAGGTGATCATGAAATATCAGATTGAAGGCTTTTTTGAAGTCAGGATCTATGACATCAATCTCTTCTCCCTTGTCCAGGTGATAAGTCACTTGGTCATAGAAGGAAATGAGATTGGTCAAGCAAGATCTACCCACAACAGAACCCATGCTGGGTATCCCTTAGGATATTGCCATCAGCTAGTCTGTTAAGGATAGCCTCCTTGATAATCTTTTCCAAGACCTTGCTCAGAATAGAGGTCAGGCTGATGGGCCTGTAGTTTGCCTGATCCAGTTTCCTCCTTTTCTTGAAGATAGGGACCACACTGGCCTTCTCCCAATCTTTGGGCACTTCACCAGAGTGCCAGGAGTTCTCAAAGATCCATGCCAGGGGCTGGGCTTTGATGCTAGCCAGCTCCCTGAGTACCCTGGGGTGTAGATTGTCAGGGCCGGCTGACTTGAAGGTGTTCAGCCTCTCAAGGTGTTCCTTCATGAGGTCAGTATTGATGGAGGGCAGAGAATCTCCCTCACCCAGGCCTCCATGTCCTGTAATGGGCATGGGTGTCCCGTGAGACTGATGAAAGACCGATGCAAAGTACCCATTTAATAGGTTGGCTTTTTCTTCGGCGTCAGTTGTCCCACCTGGTTTAGCAGGGGTTCAATGATGCCCTTGCTTTTTCTCCGGTTCTCCACATATTTGAAAAAGGACTTTTTATTGTCCTTAATGCTTGTAGCTAGCTGGAGTTCTGTCACAGCCTCGGTTTTCCTGCTTCACTCCTGAAGCACCGGACCAGTGCAGAATATTTATGCATGGAGGTGAGTCCCATCCTCCATCCTTTGTAGGCCTTTCTTTTTAGCCACAGGAGGTAGCCCCTAGTTCCCTGGAGAGCCAAGGGGGCTGCTGTGCCCTTTTGCTGCCTTTCCTCCAACACAGAATAGCCTGAACTTGTGCATCGAGGATTGCTCCTTTGAAGAACAACCCCTCTTCCTGATCTCCCCTCCCCTAAGGTTGTGATCCCTTAGGGCCTCATTGTCAAGCCTCCTGAGCTTGTCAAAGTCAGCTTTCCTAAAGTCAAGGACTTCTGTATTGCTGACTGACTTGCCAGCTTTACGGAGAATGGTGAAGGTGATCAGCTCATGGTCGCTGTCACCCAGCTTCCCATCAATCGTTAGGTCACTGATTAGGTCATCCCCAGTTGCCAGTACCAGTTCAAGCAGCGCTTTACCTCTCATTTGCCCATAGACTTCTTCAATCAGATAGAGGTCATCCACGCATGAGAGGAAGCTTTGAGGCCACTCGTATTTAGCTGAGTGGTCTTCCCACGAGATGTCTGGGTAGTTGAAGTCTTCCATGACAGCCATGGACTGGGAGCATGCGGCCTCAGCCAATTCCCTGATGAACTCCTGGTCAAGCTCTTGACTTTGAGTGGGAGGTCTGTAGTAGACTACTGTAGTTCAGTACTCAGACCAGTGCTTTTTAATATGTTCATCAACAATTTGGATTTGGGTATTAAAAGCAAACTAGCAAAGTTTGCTGATGATACCAAACTATGGGGGAGCGTGGTCATGCTGGAAGTACAGGCTGATATAGATAGGCTCACAAGGTGGGCGGACCTCAACCTGATGTAGTTTACTATGCAGAAATGCAAAGTGCTCCATCTGGGGAGAAATAATCCACAACACACTTACAGGGTCAGCAGTGCTATGCTTGCTACTACATCTGAATGAGACCTGAGTGTCATGATAGACAATAAAATGAACATGAGCCATCAATGCAATGCTGTAGCTGGGAGAGCTAATCAGACACTGGCATACATATACTGAGGCATCTTGATCAAGGCTAAGGATGTCATCCTCCCTCTCTACTCAGCCTTGGTGAGGTTGCAGCTGGAGTACTGCATCCAGTTCTGGTTGCCACACTTCAAGAAGGATGTGGAGAAGCTCAAGAGAGTCCAAAGATGGGCTACACACATGATTAGAGGCCTAGAGACCAGGTCATATGAGGAGAGGCTGAAAGACTTGGAACTACTCAGCCTGGAGAAGAGAAGACTCAGAGGGGACTTGGTGGCAGCCTACAAGTATATCAAGGGCATACATCAGGGCTGAGGAAACATCTGTTCACCAAGGCCTCCCAGGGGAGGACAAGAAATAACGGGCACAAGCTGATTGAAGATAGCTTCAGGCTAGATATAAGGACAAACTTCTTTACAAGTCAAGTACTGAGGGGTTGGAACAGGCTCCCCCCAGAGGTGATAGAGTCATCCACCCTAGTGATCTTTAAAAAGTGTCTTGATGCCCATCTTGCTGGGGTCATCTGATCCCAGAAGTTTATCCTTCCCAAGTGCAGGGGGGC